GTACACACTTTGTGATTCGTTTAAGGATGGTACGTCACACACACACACATTATTATGATAAAGTTTGTTATGCAAACATTAAGGTTGAGCTCGAGAAAAAAAAAGATGAAATTGGATATTTTCATATGCTGATGACAAGCAATTTCCGCCGTATAAAGAAAAACAATGTTTCAAATAACACCGACTTTGCCAAATTTTGTCCCATCGCTTAATTTTTTCATTCAACGCCAAATTTCTATAAGTCCACAAAGGCCATCCATAATTGCGGCGGGATTAGTTAACGATCAAATGACACTCATCCAATGTTATCGTGTGGCCTGGGCCATTGTGATGACAAATGTGGTATCCACGTGATGGTCCCCTTTAAGGCGCCAAAGAGGTATTAAACAACCCCTCTTTGCAGTCAATTCAAATCACAAATTTTTGCGCCCAATCGTTTTAACATGCGATGCCTCAGTACAACGGTAACAAATAGATTTTTTAAGTTAAGGTGAAAAGAATAAAGTCCAAATTATCATGAGCTTTATACATAACATCAAACTCTATGACGCGCATAGGTTTCACATCATGTTAAACTTTAAACAAGAAAGAAAATAACAATGCAGTTGTATTAAATTGTCAAATTGATTTTAATAAGTTGAAGGTTTTTTTTCGTGGAAGGGGGACGCATATTCGGCGGTGCATTTAATAAAACATTTGCTCTTTGGCTTTGAAAATAAGGTTAGGTACGGGATGACCTGGTGAATGACAGGTGCTGAGTTTGCACGGCTTCTTTCTTTGGTATTACCGGAGTACAATGCCTTATTAGTCGGGGCTAAGTGTTGTCTATTTCCAACTAAGCCTTATGATTAGACGTTAACTTTTAGCATCACCATTTCGTCACTCACCTAACCTAAAGTGAAATGTTGTACGAGTTATTAAATTTTATTTTAGATAATGTGTGGGTGCATAATACAAAAAATGTCCGTTATCTGATTGTATCAAATTTTTATTAACTCGAAGAGGTTTCTTGTTAACCACAATGACCGACGATAGGCAACAGCGCGCGAATTTCCTGCCTCGGATGTAACAAACATTTGATGGATATTCACGTTCACTGTTGAATGAGGGACATCTATCAAGTTAAATCCTTTTCTCTTTGCAAACAATAGAATGCTTCGTTGAACGGAACAATATTCTCGGTGCATTTAGAATGTTTATCAATCTCAGTTGCCTTTCATGAGGTTTCCATATTTGAGATTATTTCATCTGTTTGATCAAGCAAGTAAGAACCGGATGCCTTGAATTTCTCGTGCTTACGATAAATCCACATCAATTACTAGCTGTTTATAAAAAATGCTAAGGCTTGGATCTTTTTTTTTTTTTTCTTTGCAATGTTGGTTTACTATTCCGGTGCGATGTTCTGCAGTTTTCTTTTTATCCATCGCATAACCTGTATACACAGGTTTAATTTAAATAGAGTCCATATCGAGATTTAACTCTTGATTGAAGCTACCAGGAATACGCATAATCAAGTGGACAATCACTCATATCATATAAAGTTTAGGCGAATTACATGGCATAAACTATAAAGTTATTATGAGGATGCACATGAAACCTTTAATGTTGTTGAGGGTACGATAGCATGATAGTGGATAATCTTTTTCAATGGTTAATTTGGGGCCAAAATATTGTCCATCCAGCCGAAATCTAGGGGGCGGGCCTTGGGAAGGGACACGTTTCATTGTTTTCAGGGTTGTAATACGCCCAACCAGGTGAAGGTAACTCATGCGGGTAGTTACACGAGGCAACTTTGAAGGTTAGAAAAGGTTCAAAAGAACGTGAACCTTAATTTAAATTTATCGTAAACATCAATGTACCCCTTTTACTAGATTTCTAGGGATCCAATGACCAGAAACTTTGTTAATTCGATTTTACCTTTATCAGATAATTTCCTGATCACAATTTAAATTCAACAAATCGGTGATTGCAAAACTGCGTTTCATCTCTCGACGACCCTTAATGGTTAAAATAAGTCAAATTCTATAAATGGTCTTTTTGATTATTCAAAATGGGTGGAGGTGATTTTCCGATCTTCCACTATATTACTCCTTCACCAAGTCAAAATCGAAAGTATGAACTTTAATAGAGAATAGGACGCTTTTTTTTTTTCAAAGAAAAAAACTCGTTTACTCCGCAAATTCGACCGTGGATAATTTTGGTTATGAATTGGAAAAAACAATTTCGCAAAAGCTTGTTTACCAACTTGGAGCGCAAATCCTCTAAATATGTCTAGCGTTCGTATTTAAGTTGGCAATCACATAATGTGGTGTATACC